TAGAGGCCATTCTCTATGGCATTTCTCTTGGAGAAGAGTCTTCAGAAACTGTGATACTCAGATATTTGGTAACATAAAATGACAAGATACAATAGGTATAACCTTAACATTAAAAAATATTTTTTTGAGAAGGTGCCAGAACTTGTAATGGACTCCATGAGTAAAATACAAGAACACAAATATTTTCCACTTAGATGAATGATGCTTTGTATAACTTAGCTTTCTTTTCTGTTCTTTTTAGCTGTTAATCATTTCTGATTGGTTTAATAATAGATGAATATCCTTAAATCTTGATATTTGTTAAAATGAACTATTAGCTCAAGCAGTTTCAGCATGATCTTTAACCAACTATCAATCTAGTTTTAAATCTTTGGTTCTTAGCAAATAGAAAATTCTTTCTTCCAGATCCACGAAAAATACTTTTTTTTATAACTTTGACCCACAGCTCTAGAGAAATACTTACTTCAAAATGGATTTTGTTGTCCCCATCAAGCAAAAAATAGTGCATGCTGTCCTTTATTAGATGCCATATGATTATTGCTCTGTCTTCTGGTTTGTGTATGAAACAGTTTGAAGGCTCTAAGTGTTCTGTGTTTTTCAGTGGGTTGACAAGGGCTGGTTCAGTTGAAACACAGTGGGAGAGGATAGGGACCAGGCAAAAAGTATTATCTCCTGATTTTTGATTTACAAAGCCAACTCTTTAAGCAAAATACTTGGACTGCTGTTAATAAATTCATTAGGTTAGGTTCCTTTATTCTAATTTTTAAAAAGATCATTTAGTAATTATTTACCAAAATGTGAAAGACGTGTTTCAGTGATGGCCTATTTAATGCGTAGATCCAAAGAAACTAGTACTGCCTGTCATTCCTAAGTCTGAATGGACTCTCTTTTATTTCCATTGTGTCATCTTATACAGAATTTTATAGTGAAGCAGTTTGGGATACTATTTAAATCAGATACTTCCTAAGAATTAGCTCACAGTTTTTTTTTTTTTCTTTAATATAGTCATTTTCCATGAATATTTTAACTGCAATTTGAGCAATAATTTCTGAATGCCTTACTATACTCCAGATACCTTGTATGGTCACTTCGAATTACAGCCTGGGTTTTTAAGTGAGAATAGGAAGCACCTTTTAATTTTTATTTAATACGGCAGGTGAAACATGAGCAATGTACATTTGGTTGACAGGAGTCCGGGTCCTGAATCATTCATGAATTTACTTTTTCCCCTTTAACATCACATGCATATGTGAAATTCATTACTGAGTGATAGGGTGAATAGCTGAGAGACTCTGGTGAGGGCTAGCCCCTTATGGCAATAAAAGTCAAGTTAGGTGTCGTCCTAGGGATGGCCTGAGGTTTGTGGTGTTTGTGGTTGTGGTCTTAATGGAGTTTGTTTGGAAAGGGCAAGCCTATTCACAGTGCCCTGTTTACTCCACTCAGGAGGACTAGATTTTGCCTGTCCCTGTTTCATCAGTAATGGGTATTTCTCCACGATGATTTCTCTGGGAGAGTTCTTCTGAGCCTTCCGAACTTAGAGCCTGATAGGTTTGCACCATGCTCCTGTATGTTAACAAAATTGACTTCCCTGGCGGGAATCCTTTTGGAGAAGAAGATTCCTGAAATACCAGTACCTTTAAATGGAATCTGCTTTTATTTGAGCTGTCCACCCTGGGTCATAATTTGTAGGCGGTATCTATTCTTGTACAATTGTTCAGATACAGTCATTCACTAGCACACATTCATCACTTAGGAGTGAGTGACTGTATTTCTCAAGTGGAGAAAAAAAAATCCAAACAAGTTCAGGAAGAAGAAAGGAGGAAAAACCGTCTTTGGATTAGGGGAGAAAAAAACCCACCACCACCAAAAAAATATCCTTGGGGAGTGGGGTCTCACAATTTGGGATTATTGAGTGTTGCCATGCAAAAGTAACACCCAGCAGGAAGGTTCTGCTTTTCTCACAAATTCTCGGTTAACACAAGGCGCGTCGGCAGCTGGTGGAGAGCGAGTCGGCTCAGGGCTGCAGTGGAGTGGAAGGCAGCTCTGGCTGGAAGCCGTGCTGGGAGCCTGGAGCTCTGGAAGGTAATGCTGTACCTGGTGCTGGCAGCATCACTGTGCCAGTCTGTTTCTTCCCCAGCTTCAGGCCATGCTGATGTAGGGTTGAATAAGTGAGAGCTGAGGATTTTTTTGAAGGCACTTTCAGTGCTTTGTCATGGGAATGCTAAGTTGTCCAGAATAAAACCTCGGCTGGGAGAGTTGGTCTTTGGTGGCCCCAAGAAGGCATGTCTCAGAGTGTGGCTAGATTAAATGGATATTTTCCCACATCAGGGGAAGTGTATAATAATTAGAATTATTTGCTAATTAAAAAAGAGGTGTGTGTGTTGGGGGTTAGATAATTAGGCTGTAGGGCCGTGGGAAGAAAAAGGGCAATAGCTGCTCCGGTGAACTGCTCTGAAGTGGTTTGAGAAAGGCATCCAAGGTGGTGATTTCCCAAGGAAGAAGGATACCTGGTGGGCTGCTGTGGCAGGCACCAGGAGAAAAACCGAAGGTCCCATGGAGGTAAATGGGTCCCCTCGTGAACAGAGGCCCAAGCTGTATCTAAAACCGAACGCATAGTTGTGTGCTCTAATCGGCTGTAGCTGGAAACATCATGTTGCAAAGCCTCACTTTTACACTAGTTAGTTAGGACGGTCTGATTCTTATAAAGAGGTCCTGAATAAAGTAAAACAAAACAGGCTCTGGAGAGAAAAGGTGTTTACTTTATAGGTGTTTTTGCAAGTTTGACCTGCCGACAAACTTTAAACCAGCCCATCACAGATTTAAGAATGAGGCTGTTGTGTTTGATTAATGATCAGAAATGTATCAGCCCATGACTGCAGTGAAAGGTTTATAAAAGTCACTTTGATTAAATTCTAGCATGTGCTCAAACTCCACATGCATACACGTAGACCTTCATTTCTGTGTTTCTCCGAATATTTTCCTCCTTTGTGGTTTAACTAACTGATGACAGTCCTCAGTTTACTTCTTGGGGGCATCTGGATTTGAAATTTTATCAGAAGCCTCGGGCTTGGTGAAAGCAAGCTCACTTGGCAGTGTTGGCTTCGGGAGCACTCTGAGCCGAGACGTCAATATCTGCCCACGTGTTTAGTTGTAATTAAAGTTAAGATGCTGGAGAATGGCTTTACCATTAATCTGGAACCCTGGAGTCGTTTGCTGGTGAATGATGTATGACAGTTTGCTTTGTGCGGCCTCTGAAAAGAGAATCATTCTTGTGGCATTGTTAGAGAGAACAGCTTTCCTGTAGTGCTCGCGGTCTTGACTGTTTGAAAGTCCTGTTGTTCGGTAAATCTGTCAGAAGGGTCTGCGAGGGAACATATTTATGAAGAGAGTGTAGAGTGGTCAGTCTAAAAAGCTCCTTAGTGTAGTACTTTGAATTTTAAATTACACACATAATTCAAAGGTAATGTAACTTGCCGTGTCGGACTTTAGTCCATTCCGTTAAATGGAGAAAAATGACTGACGTGAAGAATGACTTATTGATTCTTGGTGGGAAAATGACTTCTGTAATATAGGAAGTATGGTAAAAGGAGTAGCTTAATTATTTAGGGAGCACTTTTCAAAATATGCTTTTACAGCAGTATAAATTGTATATATACAAATTGTATGACTAGGTTCTTTTTCTAATTCTTTTGTAGGGGAAACTTTTGAGATGACTTATTAGTTACTAAAGCAAAGTTTAATTTCGTTTAAACTCCTATAGGGTGTAACTAAAAAATATGCAAAGAGGAATGAGAAGTTCCTCAATTTACAATATCTGACATGTTTTGATTGCCCTTTCTTATTTACGTTATATTTAGGTTAGTGTTACGGGATCTTGACTGCCAAGATTTGCACAATTCCCTCTTTCTGGTTTATGATGTTTTTCAGAAATGTCATGAACTCACTTAATCTGATTTCATCAAGTAAATATATGGGAAGTTGAAATGACATATTTTAATCTGGCATTTGAAGAAATATTCATAAAATATCAGATAAAATATTTATTTTGGCTTTTCCTTCTGATCTCTCTTTGATTCAGTGTGTATTCTTTGCTTAAGGACCACAGCCTAATGTTATTTTGACTGCATTTCACAGTGTTGGCAGCCTTTCAGATAAACAGCATATTTGTGGTTAATTGGTTGAACATGTTCTATAATTATAATTATATTAAAACCTTAATGTGCTTGAACATTTGCCCACTGAAGGCCACTTGCCTGAACTAAGTTACGTTTCTGTCATTCTAACTGAGCTGCTTGGTGGCGGACTTTCAGCAGTAGAGGTAAGACAATGTAGGGACGAGAGCCTTCTCACCATTTCCGGTGGGAACCCTTGTTTGGATAGTCTTAGAAGCTGACTGTGAAAATTGCCTTCTGGTTGTAACTTGGATCCCCACGTTTCAATTTGTGGGCTAATGTTTCTTCAGATTTTCAAAAAGGATTGGCTTGGCTTCTCATCAGAGTTACACAGTGACTACATACTTAAAAAAAAGAAAAAAGAAAAACTAACACTTGATCAAGTTTGGAGCAAATTTCCAAGGCCACCAGGGAGCAGGTAAGGTCACCTAAGACCCCTGCTTGGAACCGGATGAGATGCCATCTTTGTAAGGAGCAGAGGTCTGATGGCCAACAGCTGACCAAATGATTTCTGCTTTTGTGACTTTCAGCGATGCCTTCTGGGTTGATGTAGAAGCCCTGTGGCCTTAGCTGCATTCCCAGGGCCACCTTTTCTGGATATTGAGTCAACCATCAGATGGCCTTGTTACGACGTAGTGATCTCAATCAGGATGTGTGCAGAGCACACTTTTTTGTGTGGCTGTGCAGTGAAGAAGGTTTTTACATTTTTTAATGGTTGGAAAAAAATCAAACTAATAGTCTATCATGACACATGAAAACCTATGAAGGTAACATTTTCATGTCAGTAAGTAAAGTTGAATTGGGATGCGACTGTGCGCACTTGTTTACCTGTTGCCACGGTGGCTTTCCTGCTGCAGTGGCAGAGGTGAGCAGCTGGCTCCAAGGCATTGTGGCCCTCAAAGCTGAAAACGAAATCTTTACTTAATATATACTAAACTGATCTTCTGTTTATAAGAGAAATAAAAATGAATCTCGATGTTAATGGAAGGGGAGAAGGAGTGAGAAAGGGGAGGGTTGCGGGTGGGAGGGAAGCTATGGGGGGGGGGAAGCCATTGTAATCCATAATCTGTACTTTGGAAATTTATATTTATTAAATAAAAGTTAAAAAAAAAAGAAAAAAGCTGAAAACAGTTACTGTCTAATCTTGTATGGAAAAAAGCTTGCCACCACTGACATAAATGCTGTCCTTGAGTTTCTGTCTGCCTCTAAGCCAATGGTACCCTGAGGACTGGAGTAGCAGGGCATCCTGGTGGATGAATGAATGAATGAGTGGCCCCACCAAAGCTGTGACTACAGATATGTCTGTCATTTTCTCATCTTCGGCCTAATAGCTGAACACAGTTTTTTGGTTTTTTTGTTTTGTTTTGTTTTTTGACAGGCAGAGTAGACAGTGAGAGAGAGAGAGACAGAGAAAAAGGTCTTCCTTTGCCGTTGGTTCACCCTCCAATGGCCGCCACGGCTGGCGCGCTGCAGCCGGCGCACCACGCTGATCCGATGGCAGGAGCCAGGTGCTTCTCCTGGTCTCCCATGGGGTGCAGGGCCCAAGGACTTGGGCCATCCTCCACTGCCTTCCCGGGCCACAGCAGAGAGCTGGCCTGGAAGAGAGGCAACCGGGAAAGAATCCGGCGCCCCGACCAGGACTAGAACCTGGTGTGCTGGCGCCGCTAGGTGGAGGATTAGCCTATTGAGCCACGGCGCTGGCCAGAACACAGTTTTTGAAATTTGAAAATTGGTTTCCAAATATATTTGAATTGATTTTTATGGTCTTTTAATTAACCCAATAAAAAATGGTAACAACACAGCAATTTTAAGAAAACAAAGCCAAGGATTTTTTTTTTAAATGTTGCATGCAATCCATATTACACCCACATGCACTATGTTCCAAATAATTATCTTTTGGACTTAAACTACTTTAAATTATGATTTACTTGAAAGATTATGTTCTATATCTTTTTTTTAAAGGAAGAGGAGAGAAAAAAAACTTCTTCCCAAGTTTATTTTTGTGATGGAGTAATTTTGGTACTGTTAAATAGGACAGGAAATTCCATTAAGCTCGATTGGGCTGCCCTTACCCTACAGTGTTTGGGAGCTTCCTACAGGAGCCAGATGGATTCAGACAGATCTCAGTGGTAGAGCTGAACGTGTACTTGGTTCAGATACCTGATGAGGTATGCAGGGGTGGGTTAGAATGGTGAGGATTCCACTGTCCAGTCCGCAGGCCTGTGACCCAGCCAAGGCAGTCTTGTCCTAGAGCATTAGGGTATCCCAGAGCCTCGTGCAGACCTGGGCTGGTGGACACGCTTCTAGAGCTTCTTGCTCTGAAGCCGTTCCTGCCTGCTCTGCCATTTTTTCTTTCTGACTCAGGCTTTGTCCCTCATGGATTTTGAAGTCAGCCTGGGACCAAATCTCCCCTTTTTGTTATTCTAGTTTTAAGGCTCCAAGCACCTGACCTCATATGTTTTTTGTTTTGTTTTTAAATTTATTTATTTGATAGAGACAGTGATAGGGGGTGGAGAGAAAGATCTTCCATCTGCTGGTTCAAATTCCAAATGGCCTGGGAAGGGGGGAGTGGTTAGGCTAAAGCTAGCAAGTACTTGGGCCATCTTCCATTGATTTCCTAAGTACATTAGCAGGGAACTAGATTAGAAGTGGAGCAGCTTGGACTTGAACTTGCACTCCTCTGGGATGCTGGCATTTTAGGTGACAGCTTAATCTGTTGTTCCACAGTGCCAGCCCCATCCTTGCCTATTAGAGCCGTTGGTTAAGTGAAGGACATAACAGGGACCTTAAGCCTGCCTTTAGAATGCTGTAAGAATGACAAAGCAAGAGGGCCATTGTAAATCACCCAGGAGCTGTGTGGTATACAGTAAGCAGGCTGTGGGCGTCAGTTATCTTTGCTGTCTCTCAACACTTGGCTGAAGTATATGCCCTTTTTTCCTTCCTTTATGTCTTCGCTCCTCTGCGATCTGTGGGTCGATTGTTTTCCCCTCTAAGCACAAATTGGGCAGTCGAACGTTTTTCCCAGTCCTGTGTGGTGGGACAAGTGTTCAGTAGGGCATAGAATGAAGAGCTTTGGTGCTGCCTGCTCCAGCCTGCTTCACTCAGTTCTGGCAGGACCTCATCCAAGCACAAAAGGACCTTTGTTTTCATTCACAACCTTTCTGAAATATGGTTTCACAGCCTTTTTCAGGTCCTTTTATGGTTAGCAGTTTGGTTCCTCATACAGCCCTGTCCTTGTGTCTTCTACTTCTCCATCCCTCTGTTGCTGAGCCCTGAGTGTGCCAATTCACTTTTCTCTTTGTCTGTGTCACTCAAATAAAATCTTAAATATTCCTGGTGCCTTAAGAGCTGATTTCCTGCGGTGGGTTCCTGACTGCCTGTCCAGTTTAATTTTCTCTGGACCTGACTCAGCACTCTCTGCCAAACTCAGTCCCATGGCTGGGGATGTGGAGACACTGAGACACACTCTCTGTCTGCAAGAACTTGGAATTATGTCCCATCAACTTGGAAGAATGTTCATGATCTGCCACTGCCTAGCACCCATCCACCTCTTCTGTTTCAACCTTGCTAACTTCTTCTTGTTCTATAAAATTCAGGTCTATTTTATGTGTGATACCCTTTTACCAAAACAAGTTCCCATTTAACCATTCTCTAGGCGCCCTAACATAGATTTCCATTGTGTGTCCTTACCTTTGAGTATATGTCGTTCAATAAACTGTGAACTCTTTGAAGGAAAGCAGAGTCTAATATAGCTTCAGTCTCCACACAGAGCACGTGTGTGTGTTTTCAAGCACATACTGAATATTTTTCTATTGACTGATTGCATCAGTGAGTCACTAAATGAATGCATGAATAAATGAGCAAGGGAATGAGTGACAAGAATAAGATCTGGCCCAAAGGAGCTACTGGCTTTCTACATGGGGCTCGTGCGGGAAGGCTCTGTGACCTCCCTGGGCGGCCTCTCTCCAGTGTCTGAACTAGTCCTCGCCTGGGTCATACTCATCCTGGAGAGTTTCATAGGTATCCTGGGGGTTTTGTAGGGATGATGGGTAAAACCTGGAGGAAAGTCAGGAATGTCATGTTTCCTTGGCTTCTGTCACAACTAGTGGTGCATACTTTTATCTAGGTCTTGACCAAAGATGTATTACAGATCAAGTATTCTAGAACAGATAGAGTGGCAAGGATTAATGTACAAGTAATCAGAAATATGCAGATCCACTGGCTGAGAGGTCACTTTCTAGATTGGGTGTATTGGGCTGTTGGCCACTTGAAGAGCAGTGTGGAGGAACCACTGGTGATTCTATGCAGGATCTTAGAGGAGGTGGCATCATTATCCCCAGCACTGTTTATGTAATCAGACTAAGGCTGGTTATCAAAATTGAGCATGTGCAAAAATCTCATTTAGAACATGCCTCTCTGGGCTCTGCCCCCAGAGTCTTTATTCCAGAGCTTAGGGAGTGGGCCCTAAAGGATCTGTGATAATAGCGAGGTGCCAGAGGATCTTGATGATGCTGAGTTGGGTATCTCACTGGGCTAAGGACTTCACTAATTTCCACTTGTGAGCATTGACTCAAGAGGCAACATTCTTGGCATCTACAACTTTTTTGGTCATCATTTGTAGGATCATTTTCTGAGAGTGAAAAGCATCAAAGTTATTTTAGTAAAATGTTTTTGCTATCATTGCTTTGGAACCAGCTCTCTGAAGTGAGAAGACCAAAAGTAAGTTACGTTTATTGGGATAATTTGTTGTAGATATGAGCTCTGCTTCATATTTGGAAAATACATAAAACCCTGCTTTGAACTTACTTTGTTCAATCTACCTGTATTGTTCATTGTTTCCTGTGTAAATTGGATGTAACTGCTGCAGATGTCATTTTTGTGGTAATAATACTTTTCTACATTAAAAAAATCCTGAAATGAAAATGTAAGTTACTCTTATTATAGTAATCTCCCCTTGCCTTTTCGCATGGATCATTTGTTTGTGGACTGGTTATTTCAGGAAGGGCTCAAAGGTAATTTCATGGTTTATAGCATTTATATTGGCGCCTTTAATGAGCAAAACATATTGTTTTCTAATACATGAAACAAGAAATTCATATATATATATATATACAATTTTCACTTCCTAATATTACATGTATATCAAGTTCAAGACATTGAGAACAACCACGTAAAGAAATTACGCTTGCATACACAAGGGAAATATAAAAGTTTTGTAATGCAAAAAAAAAAATGAAAATCAACATTTGCAAGCTTATGAGATGATTTTATTTTTAATGAATCCAAATGATGGCAGGGACTACTGTTGTGTTTGTGCATTGTACAGCAGTTCATATCTAAAAATACAGTAACATATGGCTCTGTTATTATTTAGTTTAGGAATTTATGCACCTAAAGGAGTTCCGCGAGCTTTGGGCCTCATTCAGGTGTTGCACACGGCAGCTCAGCAGGGTAGCTGGCATCGGGAGTCTCTCACCCCGATGATTAAGATTGGACCAGTTCGCTCCTTCTGGTGGTGGTGGTGATTAAACTCAAAAACTTTTTTGAGTATTTCCTAATGATTCTCTTCCCACTTTCTTATTTTGTTTTAAAAAGCCAAATAGACAAGCTCTTTTGGCCTAATAAAAATATGTCGTGGACAGGAATGGAGCACAAGCTTCATTTTCTAGCCCTGGAGTGAGGTAGCTTCTCTGGGTTCATTTAGTGTCCTGGGGAGTCGTTGACACCCACACACTCCCAATCACAAGGCCCTTCCCTCCCGTCCAGATTGTGTTTGTTTTACGGCTCTCGCACGGAGCATGCAGCTGTGTAAACCTGAGAACGGTTTCTGCACAGCTTTGATCTTTGCATGGATCAACAGTTGCCCTCAGTCCCTGAACCCTGTTCCATGGCCCCATATTTCTTGGATTTTTCCATTTTCTGTTCATTATAGCATTTCATAAGGAGGCTTCCAACAGTATCCCCCACGACTTTGGGTGGAGAATTTGGAAAAAAATAAGTCTT